GGAGGAGAAGGAGGAGGAGGAGGAGGAGGAGGAGAAGAGGTGGAGGGGGAGAGCAGGAGGAGGAGGAGGAGGAGGAGGAGGAGGAGGAGGAGGAGGAGGGATGCGGGGGAGGACGCCAAGGGTTTGACAACGGGTGGCAAAACATCTGCCCACGGGGCCCGCACGGGCACCCAGCGCGAGCAGAGGGAGGGCAGAAGGGGGGAGGAGGCGGAGAGGAGGAAGAGGAGTGTTGAACCCTGAACGGACGGGGAAGCATCCTGGCGAGCTGCACGCCCTCTGGCGACAAGCATGTGCATGAGCGCCCGGAGGAGACGCGACACGCCTAAGGCGCAAACCCAAAGGCGACCGATGAGATCTCCAGAGCAGGGCGTGGCTAGCGATGGCAAGAAACGCCAGTGAGGCTTGGGTGGTGGAGGAGGAGGAGGAGGAGGAGGAGGAGGAGGAGGAGGAGGAGAAGAAGGAGGAGGAGAGAGGGAGGGGAGTGAAGAAAGGCCCTCTTCACTTGCCCTTTCCGCTTCTCCTCTCCCTGCCCGCTCTCGTCCACGCCGACGCTGAGCGTGTCTTAGACTCCCGCGAACAACAAAGGAGGGGGGCTGTCCCGCCGCATGTCTCACCACATCACCACCTTTTCCAAGAGAGCCAGCCCCTCCTGAGACAATCAGCGAACAACGATTTTGAACCTGTGACCAGGAAACCGTTGGAACCTTGTGACGAGCCTGTCGGCCATGCTAGGTGCTAGGAGTCTCACTTCAACAAAGTCGCTGAGTGAATCGGCGGCCTGGTGCGCGTCTGCGTGTACCGCCTTATGGGGACCTGCGCTGGCATCGATCAAGCTCAATTCGTGCCGGCCTTTCGCAGAAAGAGACCCCAGCCAGCATCAAACAGGCGCGCTGCTTCAGACTCTGTGCCGCTCTGCTCTCATCGCCTTGCTCATTCTCCCTTGCCGCGCGGCTCGGGGACGTCCGACTGCAATCCTGCCTTCTTGGACGAATCCCACGGGAATCTATCTGGTCCACCCCGCGCCCCCAGCCCGCAGGATCTGAGCCTTGCCCGCGCTTGCGCGCAGCAAATTCGTCGGACACCCTCGGCGCCCCGTTGAGCCGACCACTCCTGGACCATCTGCCTCGCCAGCCCGCGTCGTCGAGACAACCCCGTCTTCCCAAGGGCGCGCGCCCTCTGGCTGCACCACACCGCCCGTTTGGACGCTGTCCACAGTGGCCGCTGTGGACCACTCCGTTCCCTCAAGGAGTCGTCGTGCTGCTAGAGAAGAGAAGTCGGCATCATCACAAACGTTCGAAGGTGCGTGCGAATTGCTTGGATCGGCGCCAGGGGCGGCGCCAGAGGCGCGGCAGGGGGACCAGGCGCAGATCGAAGCAGTTAGCGCGGATCTCCGAGCATCGATGTTTATGCCATACTGTATTGTTCGAGGCATGGCACAGTGGAGGCCAGTCAACAAGAAACCTTCCACGAGAAACCCAGCCCTGAGACCCCAGGACGTCCCTGGGTTTGGGGCGTGAGAATGTCGCTCTCTCCATCGCAAAACCATTGAAACCCAAGAAGCCCAGGGCACCCTGCAGGCAGGGTGCTTCTTGGCATGGGCCCCCACTGCATGCCGCCTCGAGGAAGGGCGCCCCGTCTCTGGGCCGGGCCCCGCGCGGCCGAGGCACGCGGTGGAGAGGGCGTGCCGACGGCAGGACAGCCGGGCAGAGAGCGGATGTGCTTCTCGGGCTGTGGGGAGCCTCGGCCACGCACAGCAGAGCTGTGTTCCTGGCTCAGGCCCCTGGGAACGGCCGAGCGTACCCGCAGGATGACGTACCCCCCGTGAGCCTTGGCCACGCACAGCAAAGCTGTGCCTTCCTGATGCAGCTGCTTGGGCGACGATAAAAAAAAAGGTCTCACGCGAGATGGCATAGCGACCCTGCGCGGCGGCTTACGCGAGCCGCCAGCGCGGCATGCCACATTGGAGACGAGGGCACTTAAACGCGACCTTACGCGGGCAGCTTACGCGCCCATGTCGGCGCAGTCGACCCCGCTTCCTTTCGTCGCTCAATTGGGAACTGCCAAACGTACCCCCAGGACGACGTGCCCCCCTTGAGGTGACGCAGCGGCCACGGTTCCAACCACGGGCACGTCCAACAGAAACGCGCCGTGGACGGTTCTGCCGTTTCTCTGACCTTGCATTGCGCCGAGCGAAACGGCCGCGTTGTCCATAAAAGCATTCACCCCGAATGCGTCTATAGACGTCTCGGCACCCAATGTGTACATGGACGCTTTGGCGCGAACGTGCGAAAGGTATTTGGCATCGGTCCCAGATACTGGCTTTCTAGAAGCAGGTAGACTTGGCCCTCCAAGTTCTGGGGTATACGTTTGTAGAGGCCTCCCGGATGGGATCCGAGTAGATGGGGTCGGATGATCGCGCCGCATCGGGGATACATCGGCGATATACCGCCGATGCATCGGCGATGCCGAGGCGACATCGGCCATGCATCGGCGACGTCGGCATGGAGAACATCGGGTTCAACATCACGCCGCATCGCCGATGCATCGCCGACACGGCGCGATCCTCCGACCCCACCTGCTCCGACCCCGTCAGGGAGGCCCAGAGCTTGGCCTCCCCCGAGTCTCGGGCGTTGGCAGAACTGGGTTTAGTGGGACCTGGTTTAGTGATGTGCACTGGGGGACGACCCCCTGCCCCGTTCCACCAACCGGAACTGCCGTCGCCCGAAAAAACACCAGCTGCGGCAGACCTGGTTTAGTGATGCTGGCCAATTCAGGGGCCCCCGGGCCCTACCACTAACCAGGTCCCCTTACCTGGGGTCCTTTACCAGCCTCGAACGTATCCCTATCCCTGGGATTGACACGCCAAAATGCGATGACAATCTTAGGGATTCGCCCTCAAAACGTGAAGGAATCCCTGAGATTGGCATCGTGATGAGGGGGTGCCCAGCATAGGGATAGGGATAAGTTCCGGGCTGGTAAGTCCTGGCTGTACCCGAGGAGTCTCTCGCCTGCCGGCGCCCTCGTCGCGCTCCGCCCGCGCGGCCCGCCCTGCCGCCGGACCCGCGCCGGCTCCCGCAGCAGCAGAGCCGCCGCTCGGCAGGGGCTCCCCTCGCGGCCTCGCCCCCGCGGGCCCGCGGCCACCGCGCGCCGCGGCGGCCCCCGCGGAGGGCCACGCCCGGGCCGAGCCCGGACGCCCCGAGGAGGGCGCCTCGCTTCGCGCTCTCGCGCCGCCCCCCGGGGGAGAGGAGGCCGGGGACGACTCGGAGCCGAACCGCGGAGCGCGAAGAACTTCGCGCCCTCGAGGCCGCCCTCGACTCCCGGAGGCCACCCGCGAAGCGCCCTGTCGCCTGGAGCCCTCGCACAGCAGGCGGGCCCGCAGGAGAGCGCTGAGGACCCGTCGGCCGGCTGAACCGTTCGCCCCGTCGCCGCTGCGCCGTCCCGAGACTCTGCGGCGGCATAATCAGCGGGGCGCGCCGCCCAGGCCGAGGCGGTCGGAGCCAAACTGGACACAAGGAGAGGACGACGACGTCTGCCGAGCCCCGGTCCAGGCTTCTGCTATTGCCGTGGTTTTGGCTGAGGAGAGGAGCAGAAGGACCGGGAGGAGGAAGAGAAGGACATGGGGGGAGGATGAGGAGGAGGAGGAGGAAGAGGAGGAGGAGGAAAAGGAGGAGGAGGAGGAGGAGGAGGAGGAGGAGGAGGAGGGGAGGAGGGGAGGAGGAAAAGGAGGAGGCGGAGGAGGAGGAAAAGGAGGAGGAGGAGGAGGAGGAGGAGGAGGAGGAGGAGGAGGAGGGGGAAGAGGCGGAGGAGGAGGAGGAGGAAAAGGAGGAGGCGAAGGAGGAGGAGGAGGAGGAGGAGGAGGAGGAGGAGGAGGAGGAGGAGGAGGAGGAGGAGGAGGAGGAGGAGGAGAGGAGGGGGAGGAGGAGGAGGAGGAGGGGGCAGAGGAGCCCCAAAGGAAGCCTGGCACGAAGAAACGGGCCCTTGAGGGAGATGCGGCACTGCCGGACCCGTGGGGATCTTCCCGGGGCCAGCTGCCCCACCCGGGATGACCCCGGGCCTGGGGAGGGCCCCGAAGGCGGAGGCGTCCAAAGGGGGGGGGGCGTCCAGGAGGGGGGGGCGCAAATCGTGGCCGGCGGCATGAGCGCGGGCCAGGGGCAGGCGCCCCCAGAATCGAATCGATAAGTCGGATCGGCGATCGGAATTAATCGGATCGGCGGAAATCGGCAGCCGAGTCGGGAAAAGTCGAATCGGCGGGAATCGGCAGGTCAGTAGGCCTCCATTGAGGAATCGGAGGCCACCGAAATCGAATCGAATCGGTGGAATCGAAATGAGCCCTGCATGGGTGGGCCAGGGACGCATTCAAACAAGAAGAGGCGCCATGAAACCTGGGGAGAACACATGCTCCCCACCATGAGATCCAACCCCTCCTAGTCATCACCCCCCTCGTGGCCGCCCCCGACGAAGGCGGAAAATGGTCAAACACCTGAAGGACCTGTTTCCTACAGGACCCCTTCCCGGACATCCGCCGACACGTTCTGCTGCCATCCGCGGCCCCAGAGGCCCCGACCGCTGCCCCAGGGTCAGTTTTCTCGTCCCAAAGATCCATGGTTGAGTGTCCCTGGGGCCTGAAAACGGCACCCGAGAGTCGACATCGAGGAGAGTCGCCCATACTGAAAGCGTCTCGTCGTCGGAGGCCCGACCGTCTTTCATGGTGAGGAGGCGGAGGTGGGTCGACGGGAGGGGGCCCTGAAACGACACCCGAGAGTCGAAATCGACGAAAGTCGCCCAGACTGAAAGCGTTTTCTCGTCAGAGGCCCGAACTTCTTTCATGGCGCGGAGGCGGAGGTGGGTCAGGGGTGGGTCCCTGAAAACGGCACCTGACAGTCGAAATCGACGAAAGTCGCCCAGACTGAAAACGTCTCGTCGTCGGAGGTTAGATTTTCTTTCGTGGCGAGGAGGCGGAGGTGGGCCGATGGGAGGGGGAACGTGTGGCCGAGGCCCGATCCTGCTGCTTGGCGTAAAACTTCTTGCCCGTGGCCCTGCCGATGGCCTGGTAGAACTCGTGCGGGGACACCAGGCCCTGTGCTATATCTTTACATATATACATACATGTGTATAGTTGTATATTTATATATATACATACGCACACATACACACATACAAACATACACACATACACACCTACACACAGACACACATACATACATACATGCATACATACATACATACATACACACATACATACACACACATACATACATACATACATACATAAATACATATATGCACATACACACATACATACATCCATACGTACATGCATACATACACACACATACATACACACACACATACATACATGCATACATACATACATGCATGCATGCATGCATACATACATGCATACATGCATACATACACACATACATACAGACAGACAGACTGACAGACAGACATACACATCTACATATACACATGTATATACGTATACTAGAACCATCGCGCGCGCGCTTCGCGCGCGTGCGCTCAAGTTCTAGCCCAGGCCGGGGGGGGGGGCGCTGGAAGATCTTGGACAGCGCTATCAAGCACAGGCGCGTGACATAGTCGCGCCTCCTGAGGGCCTCTAGGGGACCTGTTGGGTCTGCGCGGGGGCATCTGAAGCGCCTGGGGGCTTCTCCGTCCTTCCTCAATGTGCTGTTGGAGGCACCTCTTGGATGTTTCTTGGGGGGGCGTCTTGGGGCTTCTTGGGGTCCCTTGGGAGCATCGTCGGGGTTCTCCAGGCAACCGGAAGGTGATGTTCTGCAATCTGAAGCCGTCATTGGCCGTCTTGGCTGCGGGGAGGCCCGACTTGAGGGCGCCTGGGGCCACACTGAAGCAATCAGGAAGCCTCCCGGGGCCTCCTGCAGACACTTTTGATGCATCGAGGGCACTGTTGGGCAATCTTGGGGACCCATGTACGTCTCCTTGAGGCCTTTTGGGGCCACTTGAGAGGCTTATGGAGGCCTCGTCGGACCACTTGGGGACTCTTGGGGCCTCCCTCTTTGAGGCCTCTTCGGCTATCGTAGAGCGGTCTTTTGGGCCTCTTGGGCCGTCTTGGAGCGTCAGGATGCCACAAAGCTGAAATGCTACAATGCGCCAAAAACCGAGGAACATCCGTGATTTTGGCTTCTTGGGGCCCTTTTGGGAGCGCGGGCCATCCAAAGGCAATCTTGTGCGTGTTAAGCGATAACTCCACGATAGGCTGGACGACTGGCGCCAGAACACCAAGCAGCACGAGAGGCTGGACGACTGGCGCCAGAACACCTACTTCGAGATGGTCCGCGGCTCGATCGAGGCTCTGCCGGCGCCCTCGGCGGAGTGGGCCTTCGGCGACGACCTGGGGCTCCTCCGCGGCGCTCGAGGCGGGGTTGCTCGCCATGGCACCCCTGGATGCCATCGCCTCGCTCGGCGCCCTGGGGGACGCCGTCCGGGCCAGCGGCAAGTGGCCCGACGCCCTCCGCACAGCCCTAACCACGATGATTCCCAAGGTTCGTGATGGCGTACTCACAGAGGACCTGCGGCCCATCACAGTCGGCGCCGCCGTCTTCAGGGCTTTCCAGAAAGTGATCATTGGACGGTACAAAAGCTGGGCTGAAGCTGCACAGCCCACCAATGCGATCCACAACCTGCTGAACATGGATATGGAGATAGAGGCCGCCCGGGCTTCTGGCGCACCATTCATTGCTCGGCAGTCTGACCTGTCGAACTGCTTTACCAGGCTGCAACCGGAGCTGGCCCACCGCCTCGCGATGGCCTTCGGCATGCACGAAGTGGACAGCAGCTTCTTGTTCTTGTCGGCCGTCGGCACTTCCGCAGTCGTGAAGGTCGGGGGGTACGCCTCAGATCCTATCTGCTCAGAGCGTGGTATGCCGCAAGGGTACCCTGCGTCGCCGCTGGGCGCCGCCCTCTACGCCGGGGCCCATGCCCGCCGGCTGGCCGCCCTGCACAATCCAGATACGTTCTCGTTCCGCACGTACGTGGACGACAGGACCCTCACCGCCAGGGACATCGACACCGTGGCCGCCATCGAGGGGTCCCTCAAGGAGCTGGACATCGCGAGTGGCCAGAAGGAGGACCCCAGCAAGGAGGAGTGGGCTGGCTTCAACCTGCCGCCGCACCTCCTGAAGGAGCGCGAGAGGGCTGGCAAGCCTCTCCGGGGACACTTGGACCTCCTCGGGGTTCGCGTTGACCTCACAGGCACGGCTCCGCCTTCGGAGGCCCCCCGGGCTGCCCAGCGCAGGGAGGAGCTCTTCAACCGCTTGGACAAGATCCGCCGCGTGTGCGGAGGAGCCCAGCTGGCCATCAACCTGGTCTTCAGAATCGTCCTCTCCACCATGAGCCTCCTTCGCTGGGATGGGCCGTGGTGCTCCATGAAGGCAGCGGACGTCAGCGCCATGCGCACCCGCGTAGAGCAGGCCCTCTTCACCAGGCAGAGGCACGCCACCTGGCGGCACCGAGGCGCCGCCTGGTGCCTCCTCGACAAGGGTTGGAAGATCGAGCCCATGGGCGTCATTTTCTCCAGCTTCATCAGCCTCTTGCGAAGCACCAGAAATGGCCCCCTCCAGCCGCTCGTCCGCCGGGCGTGGAGGTCAATGGCAGAGGGGGCCGCCGCTCCTCGAGAATTGGATCGGCCGGATGCGCGCCGTCTTCGACGACATGGGCTGGCACTGCGCCACCAACGACCCGTACGAGCCGACCTTCGCAGGGGCACCGTTCCCCATCGGATTATCCAAGGGCAAGCTGGAACACTACGTCCGCGAGGCGTGGCGCAGCTTCATGATGAGGGACGCTAGCACCACCACGGTTCGCAAGGAGCCAGTGGACTTGCCGAGCCTGGATGTCAAGACACTCCGGGACTTCGTCAACAAGCAGTCCAAGTTGCAACGCACATGGGCATGGCGGTGTGCGGTCGGGGCTAAACCTAGCCCGGATCGCCTTCATCATATACATTCTGATGTACCTCATAACTGTGAGGAGTGTGGCGTCCCAGCCACCACTCGACACCTCCTGTGGGAGTGCAAGAACACACAAGAGCAGCGGGCCCGGACAAGAATCCACCCGCACATTTTGCCAAATATGGTGCCTGACAGCGAGCGGGCAGCCTTACTACTCAATGGGTGGTTTCGTGCAATCTGGGATCCTCCAGCGGGTGTTTCTCAAGCTGATTGGGGTGAACACCATCATCATATTCGTCATCTTCCTTCTCGCATCCTCAGGTACAAAATGCAGATCCTGCAGCCGTACTACAACATTCTGGCAGGCCGCTGCGCCTTCTAGCTCCCGCTCGAGTGGACCAAGGCCAGAGTCAGCCTGGTTCACGCGCAGAAGGAGCAGCATAACTCCACGATAGTAGGCCTCCTGGAGGCCTCTCGCATAGTAGGCCTCCTGAAGGCCTCTCGCGGCCCTTCCATCTGTGTTGGTGCTGCCTTGGGCGGTCTGGAAGCGTCCCAAGCGCCCCGACACCCCCATGGCGCGTCGACCCCCCCCCCACCCCCCCCCGCATCGGTCCAGGGATCTATATATATATATATATATATGTGTGAAGTTATATGTATATACACGTATGCGTATACATATACGTATGCACAGATATATATTTATATATATATAGATAGATAGATAGATAGATAGATAGATCTATCTATATAGATATATAGATATATATGTATATATAGATAGATAGATATATAGATATATAGATATATAGATATATAGATAGATAGATAGATAGATAGATAGATAGATAGATAGATAGATAGATAGATAGATAGATAGATAGATAGATATATAGATAGATAGATATATAGATAGATGTATCCGGGGGCCTCATAAAACGAGTTTTGAAGCCTTTTGGGCGCCGCCTTGGGGCCTCTTGAAGCCTCTTTGGGGCTTCTTTGGGGCCTTTTCGGGCCTCTTGGGGGCCTCGTGGGGCCTCTTGGAGGCTTCCTGGGGGCCTCTTGGGGGGCCTCTTGGGGGCATCTTGGGCGGAGAGCTTGACTTTTCAATTTTCCCTCACTTGGGCCCCTCTTGGGGCCTTCTTGGGACCCTCTTGCGCCGTCTTGGGCGGCTCTGGGGCCGTCTCGGGGCTCTCTTGGGCCGTCTTGGGGCCCTCGAGGGGGCCTCTTGGGCCGTCTTGGAGCGGTTTTGGGAGCCTCTTGGGCGGTGCTTTAGCGATGGAAACACGAAGCAGCAAGAATACAAAAAAACATTTGACAAAACAATGAAAATCAACGATTTTGCCCTCTCGGGGCGCTCTTGGGCGGCATCTTAAAGGCCTCTTGGGGCGTCTTGGGGGCCTCCCGGGCAATTTAAAACGCATCGTGCGTCGCCAGAGACCCCTGGACGGCGTCTTGGGGGTGTCTCGAGACCGTCTGGGGCCGCCGGGATTGCTGTCTGAGGGCTCCCCGGGGCGATTTTAGGCCTCCCAGAGGCAGGCCTGGGCCCCGGTGCCCACATTTGTGGTGAAGGTTCTGGCCCTCGGCCCCCGGGCCCGGTGCGCCGATACTTATCTATAGTCTATATCTTTATCTATATATATATATATAGATATATAGATGTATCTATATATATGTATATATGTACACATACACATACGTATATATATATATATATATATATATATATAATATATATATATATATCATATATACATACGTATATATATTATATATATATATATATATATATATATACCTATACATATACATGTGTGTATGTATGTATGCATGCAAGTGTGTGTATGTGTATGTGTATGTGTATGTGCATGTGCATGTGTATGTGCATGTGTATGTGTATGTGTATGTGTATGTGTATGTGTATGTGTATGTGTATGTGTGTATATGTGTATGTGTGTATGTGTGTATGTGTGTACGTGTGCTCGTCCTGTGGCAGCGCACATGTATACAGACAGCATATGTGATATACATACATCGGCACACACATACATCTACGTCTACATGTAACTATACACCTACAGCTACATAGACGCATAGACGCACTGGTACCTCTCTCTTTCATATATATATATATATATATGCACACACCTAATCCAGAGCAGTAGTTGTGAGAGGGAAGGGAAGAGGAAGGGCCTCCTCCTCCTCCGCCTCCTCCTCCTACCTCTGAGCTGAGGCCCGCCTTGAAGTTTCTGGGATTGTACATCTTGCGCATCAGGTCCGCGAGGCTGCTCAGCACTGGGTCCGCCTTCTTCTCCTCGGGGGTAGCTGAGCAGCTTCCAGCCCCCCCCAAAAAGGAAAGTTAACGGGAGGACGAGGAGGCGCAGAACGAGGGGGGCGAGGAGGGATGGGGACGGGAATGGACTGCAGTGACAAGCGCGCAAACGGCCAGGCCTCGCCGACCACCATTTTGCGATCCTCCTCCCCCTCTTCTCTGAGCTGCTCGATTACCCGCCGGCCCACCCTCTCAGAATGCTTGGGACTGGCATGTGTCCCATACACTTCCGGTATTGCCGATATCGCATGTTGCTCCGTAAGCTTTGCGAGAAAACTTTCTCCATTGTGAACTCACTCTGGCTTGCGGACGCTGGGAACGAGGGCGTTCGCTTGCACATGGAACTTGAGCGGAACACGATAATATAAATATGACAGGAGGGAGCAGGGGGGACGGAGAATGAGGAAGGACGCCAGAATTTTGACACTTTGCCTGCGCATGCAGGTCCTTTGTGCACCACGCGCCCCTCGTGGTTGTCCTTGACTCGACTGCTATAGTTGCAGGACCGACTGCAGAAAAGAACGAACACAAGAGGCACGATGTAGTGTTTGTATGCTTCACGGCGCAGTCACCCGGAGCCCTCGACCCCTTCCCAAAAGCAACCCTTGTTGTCCGAGTTGTGTCGTGATGGCTGCGGGGCGGCCTCGGGAGGCCGGCGTCAGAGGACAGAGCGCCCACCGCGATCTTTCAGCGGCATCCAGAAGAACAAAGACGGCATGCACCCAAACCTGTGGAGGACCGCGCGGCCTCCTCCGGTGCGCGAAACGCGCCGCGAGCGGCGCCTGAGTCGCGCTCTGGGGATCCAGCGCCGACGAGAGCACTCCGCCCAGCACGCCGAAGGTTGATACTTGTGTTAAGTCGGGCCTGTCCCCCTACAGGGGCATTTTGGGCGAAAAAGTAAAGATACCGAAAGATACCCCCAAAATGCCCATAAATAGTAAAAAAAATGTCCCCGGATTATTTTTGCCAATTTTTGAATATTCCCCCTGTAGAGGGACAGGCCCGATTGAATACTTGCGGAGAGCCATCGCCGTTTGCAACCACCGTTTCTGATGGCCCCGCGGCCCGACGCCCCGTTCCTCCAGGACTCGCCGGCGTCTGCCGATCACGGCGCCGTTTTCGTCGCTCGTCGAGGCGGAGGGAGACGAGGAGCACGTGGACGAAGATCGGAAGCCGGGCAAGGGCTGCCAAATCCGTGGCTGCTAAAATCGACCTCCGGGAAGCTGTCTTCATCCTTCCCGGAAGAAGCCCGTTGACTGTTTCGCGTGCCGCGCCTCATTCCGGGAAGTTGTTTCTTACTTCCGGGAGGGCCATTTTAGCAACCACGGTTTTAGCAGCCCTCGCCCAACCTTCGAGAAGAATGCGGAGGGAGAGGAGAGGAAATCATGAAGTTGAAGTGGGGTGGGGCCACATGACGACGGTATACCTTTACGTGCCATCGCTCGGACGGCCGTTCCCTGTGCATGTTCCGGCTTCGTGCGTGCTTTTGTTTGCTCGATGATCCAGGATGCTCCTCCAGGGTCCTCGCCGAGAAAAAATGCACACGTCCGAGCGATGCCAGGTTTATGTTTACATCCCCGCTCGGAAAAAGTGCCCCCCCCAGCCGGCACTGTTTTGAACAACCGACTCCCGCGGACGCGATGATGGGGTGAGAAGACGCTAGGCTGCTCACCAGGAAGACTCCGAAAACTCATCCTCCTTTTCGCTTGCTCCGAAAAGGCTGGCCGCCCTGGAGGGGCCACGCTCAACACTGCATAGAACTACGAATGTGAAAAGAAGAAAAAGAGAGGGGAGGAGGACGGGGGACGGGTGGTGCCGAAAAGGCTATGGAGGACACCGACAGCGAGATAACGCACCAACATGCATACATCCCCGCTCGGAAGAAGTGCCCCCCCCAGCCGGCACTGTTTTGAACAACCGACTGCCGCGGACGCGATGGCACGCGTCAAGTGCCTGAGGGGGTGAGAATACGCTAGGCTGCTCACCAGGAAGACTCCGAAAACTCATCCTCGTTTTCGCTTGCCACGACTTGCCAAAATTTCATTGCGCAGGACCTTGTTGAGTGAGGCCAGCAGTCGTCCAGGCAGATCTTTTCGGAGGTTCTGTGCTTGGGCCACATGACTAGGGGAGACCTTCTGGATGCTTCGGAGCAGCGCCGCAGGCTTCATATAGACCCGACAATTTTCTGCACACATCCAGCGGCCCCGGCTCTGAATGTCAGGCAGGCCAACACCGTTCTTGAACGCATCATGCGACGGGCCACCGCGCCTCATCCCGCGCGGCACCACCTTGTAGCCCAGGTGGTCGGAGGCTTGGTTGAAGGCCTTCTCGACAACAGCCAGCGTGAGCCCTCTGAACAGCAGCTCGCCTGGCCTCGTCCGATCGAAGACACTCTTGAGCAGGGGCTCCATCCAGCGACGATCTTGCCAGGCAGCCACCACCCCCGCGTCGAACTGCCCGTTCTTGGCGGGCTTGTCTCTGGTCGAGGGGGCCACCGTGATGCTCCACTTCTGGATCGAGGCGCCCGTCACGGGCGGGCACAGATCCTCCTTGCGGAGCTCGATCGCCTCGGACGGCCTGAGGTAGCAGCCCCAGGCCAGCACGGCGAAGAACCCGACGAGGTGCAGCTCGTGCTGGATGAAGAAATCGACGAACAGCCAGAGCATCTACTCGCACGGTGGGCCCCGTGACTTCTCTGGCGCTCTTCGAGAGAAAGCGCGCAGCGTGGCCTTGGCGAGAGCACAGCAGCTGGGGGACTTGATCGGAAGGTCCAATGTCCAGGCCGCGCCGTAGAGGGCATGGCGGGCAGCGCTCACTGCAGCGCCGTCCAGGAAGAGGAACTCCATGTACTCGACGAAGAGCTTGCCCCACTGCCCCACGTCGGCAACGGCTGGAACAGCGCGGGCGAAGCGGACCACGGCAGCGTAGCAGTGACGATAGCGCTGCTGCGTCGTAGGGCCCACCGCCAGGCGACGTAGAAACCCAGGACCCTCTTCAGCGTGGTGTCGGCCAGGCCCCTGGCGGTCAACGAGGACGCCCAGCCCCCACTTGAGCGGCTGCCCGCCCCAGTGCCCGTCTGCCGACTCCCACCCGAGCGTGGCCTTAGTCGGGAGGGGTTCCACCTGGACGAAGTGACTGACCTTCTGGCCGAGGCAGGCTGCCAAGTGCTCCTCCCACCGCTGGTCGACGCGGGACCCGCCCTCCTTCCTCCAAGCGGCGGGCGGAGCGGCATCCCGCAGCACCCCCGCCAGGCGGCGGCAAAACTGACGTCCTCCACCGCCAGCGAGCCGGCGCCGTCGCCGCGGCTGGGAGGTGAACCGACCCTTGCAGCACGACATGTCGCGCATGCCCCGGGCGCCTGGCCTCCATGCGCGCAAGGCCCTGCAGGTTGCCCACGAGCAGGGTCGGCTTCTTCCACGCTGCGCCGAGGGCGCGCATGTCCAGCTCCACGCGAACGGCAGCAGCACGCCTAAGCAGGCTCTCCAGCGGTGGCCAGCTCCAGAGATGGCTCGACCGAGGGTTCTCGATGACGAACTGAGCGCCAGCGTCAAGGCAGGCCCGCACCACTCGACACGAAAACTTGGCGCAGGCGAGACCGGAAGCCGACGCGGCCGAGTCCGCCATCTCGCCACCTCGCCGAGCAGCGCTCCAGCGCGCGCAGGGGCCCCCCAGGGCGACGGCCCGGATCGAGCCGCACAGGATCCACTGCACGATGGCGTCCGCGACTGGGGCCCTGGTGGCGTCGAAGTACTCTGCGTTGATGCGATCGACTGGAGCAGCACAGCGAAGCCCGCCGGCCAGGGCGCCCGCGGTGAGGCGGCAGCACCCAGCGAAGAGCCCGAGGAAGTACACCTCACCACGCTGTCTGAGCCCGCGGTGCCGAAGGCGACGAGCAGCGCTCCCCGCCGCGGCCAGCGGCGGGCTGTCACGCACGGCCTCTTCGCCCGCCTCTGTCGCCCGAGGGGTCGGTGACCTTTCCCTACTCCGAACGGGATCCAGAAGGTCACCGCGGTCCTCGCAAGGCCCCTCGGCGAGCAGCGGCGGGCTGTCACGCACGGCCTCTTCGCCCGCCTCTGGCGCCCGAGGGGTCGGTGACCTTTCCCTGCTCCGAACGGGATCCAGAAAGTCACCGCGGTCCTCGCAGGGCCCCTCGGCGAGCCGCCATCGGCGAGCGGCGGCTGAGAGCGGCTCGGCGGTCGTCGGGGGCTTCTCGGCGCGGCCGAGCGGGCGGCCCAGGCGGCCAGCGTCTCGAAGTTCGGCAGCCCGGCCCTGCGCGCTCTGACCAGCCCCGCGCCACCGCAACCTGGAGGCGAAGTCCGAGGGGTTGCGGTCGGTGCGGATGCGCCTCCGCGCCCACCGCGCGTTGGCAGCGATCTGCCATGCGGTTCCCCGTCGGGGCAGCGCCAGCAGCTCCCAGGCTCGAGCTCGTCCGCGATCGCAGGCGAGGATCTCAGACATGTTGTCCCCGAAGGAGAGCAGCGCGGCGTCGTGGCTGGCACTGTCGCTGCAGTGGTCGGCGAGGCCCATGAGCGCAGCGCGGGCTTCCAGGTTGTGGATATTATCAGGGCGCTTCCAGCTCCCAGCTCGGATGCATCTCCAGCGCTCGGGGCGATCCCACTCGTGGCCGAGAGCAGGCACCAGGCCAACAACCTCCACGACATCGTCCAGCTGCGACTCACTCGGGATGACGGCGACACGCGACTCCCGCAGCCGACCCAGCTCCTGATCCACCTCGCGGGCGGCCCAGGCGCTGAACGTCTCCCCGCCCGTCTCCAGCTCGTGGGTCCCGTCGGGCAGGGCACCGGCACCGCAGTCGTCCTCGTGCTCGTTCTCCAGCTCCCTGAACCTCCAGCGCTCGCGGTAGATGGCCGCAGCCCATGGCTCCCGAGGCGTCGCCCTCGCGATGTGGACGGCGTACGCGTGCGAGCTGGAGTCGCTGCAGTAGACGTGCTCCGCGATGGGGCGCCCGAGGTCCGAGACGG